TGCAACATTTTGCTCTTATAAAAATGAATCAATAGGATATTTCAGAATGTCAGAAAATAGCTTTGAAAGTGTGTTATTTGTTCTTCAATTATGCATCTTGTAGCAAAAGTATTTTAGTAACTAAGCAAGTATATGTGTCTTATTTATTTTCCATAATTTTGTAGGTTTAATACTATTGTTTCAGCTGCCAAAAATAAATTAATTTATCATTTACCTGTTACCAAAAAAGGATGTGGTGTAGAATGATGGTGTTTGTGAGCCTTCCTTTTCAAGTTCTTTAAACAAATGATTGCTGCCCAAATTGTTTTCTTGAGGAAGTACACTGCTAGCCCTCCTATTTCAAGGAGTGAAAGTAGTGATAGACCCAAGTAAAGACTTAGTCCCCCTCCTAAGGCAGCCACAAACACTTGTGGAGGCATGGATGGAGTTTGACTGACAGACCGTACCCGCAGGCTTTGGAGGTACACATCAACTTTAAGGAGATTTCTTTGAATACGAAAACGATCTTGCTGACGTTGATCTCCTGCAAATTCTTGATCATTGCTTTCACAAGAATCCACTAACAGCAGACGCTTTGCTGCTGTACACTGAAAAGGAATTTTGTGAGATATAGGTTACTTTTCTCTTCCAAATTACAACTCAAACTATATGATCAGGCATGGTGCTGAACTAAGTAGTTTCTCACTGTAATTCAACTTCATTAGTTCTTGAAAGATTTAGTTTTCCTTAAGAGGAAAAAAAATGGAATTGTTGAAGGGGAAAGAAAATAGAGAAACAATCACCCTTCCCTTATTGATATTGAACTCTGGCTGCAAAGTCTGTGCTGTCATCCTATTGCTTTAACAACAGTAACTTATTTGAGTGATACTATTTATTACTAATTGAAAGGAAAATGAATGTGAAATTTGTGTGTGAAAGAACTACAGTTTTCATGCATAATTAACAGGTTATTTAGAACTAGTATAACTGCAGCCTAGCTTTTCTGTATAAATGCTGCAAGCTTCAAGAGACAGTCTTCAAGGGAACAATACACATTGTTTTAAGAAGGCAAACCAATTTTTTAAAGCATTTTCTTTAGCAATTGCATTCCTAATGAAATAATCATTTCCCAATACGTGTTAAATAGGTAAATACTTACCCAGTCTGAGTCAGTTGGCCAAGAAGCTGTTGAAATAGTTGTTTCATAAGTTATTTCACTGAGAAACAAACATATGAAGGGAAGAAGAAAAATAGTAAATCATTTCATACCAAACAAAAAAATGTTTGCTCTACAGAATTTAAACGTACCGACAATCCATGTTGCAACTGCAAATCTTAGCTCTACTTTCAAATGAGGCAGCAACTTGTCTTGCACATATGGATTCAATAGCTAGAAGAAAATTGAAATATAAAACAAAATGATATCTCATAACTGGTTGTAAATCACTCATTTTTTTATCTTCTATTGATCTGATTTGTTCAACAGATGTTTCCTGCACATACTCACTTCCAGAAGTAAGATTACAAGGAGGGTATCCACGTTGAAGATCCATATAAGCTGGGTGTGCACAATCACAACTGTCTTCAAAGGCTAATTGCAAACATATTCGTTGACAACGCTGAGAAATAAAAAATTGTGATAAGAGAAGGCTTTATCAAACTCATTCTTTAGATTTTATTGTAAGCTTGTGCTACCTGTGCAGAATATGTGAAGGATGAACCGACATACTGCTGAAAGGTGGACTGATCCCAGTTGTGTGTACAATTGGATTGATAAGGTGATTGTAATCGTGTTACTTGGACCTGTTGGGAAAGTGTTTATTGTCTTCACATTAACTGAATAGAAAAATATTTTTAATTGATAATATGTAATCTTAATTATTTATATCACTTCATATTGCCTTAATTTTCTTGCCTAGTATTGTACATTGTGCCTCTATGGTGGGAACATAGATATTTAAGAATGAGATTTTTAAAATGTTTAGTCTCCTTTGACTATCTGGTTATTAACAATCATGGTCTTGCCTGTAAGAGTGCAATGCTAGTAGCTGCACTTGGTGAGAGATTGATTCCCATCTCTTGCGGAAGAGGCTCATGACTCTGTTCATGGACTACTACTCGTGCTCCTGCTTGGGGACTAAGCCCTGCACGAAGATAGTTTGCCTGATCCAAATACAACTCCATTGAAAGTCCTACAATGCAATTAACACATGTATTTGTATATTTTTGTGCTGAAAATATATTATTTAGTTATAAATCTCAATTCATCATCACTTATAGATAGAGGTGGCCCAAGACTTAAAAAAAATAGTGGCAACTAATATTTTCTGGTTTCTTTCTACAAATTAAATAATTTTCTATAAAAATACATCTGTCAACAGGTGAATAGTACGTTTTTGTTCCCTTAGTTCCAAAGTTTTTTATGTATATAAACTAAAAGTGAAGTTTTAAAAGACCATTTCTACATCTCAAATCAAATACAGTGAATCTCTCTCTCTCTCTCTCCCCCTCTCTCTCTCTCCCTCTCTCTCCCTCCCTCTCTCTCCCCCTCTCTCCCTCTCTCTCTCTCCCTCTCCCTCTCGCTCTCTCTCTCTCTCCTTTCTAGAGTGGCACAATGCAGCGACTCCCTGCCAATGAAGCTCGACTCGGCCTAGCTACATGAGCCCGCCGGGTGGTAGCGCAAAGTCGGCTACCGGGCCTCCGATGGCAACGGAACTCCGATTTTTCTGTCGGATGCGTACGGCAACATCCTGAGGATTTCATCCTCGGCTATTGTCCGATTTTCTTTAGAATGGGATGATTTGACAGCTAGTGCTGTCAACAGAACTTACGATTCTGTGGTCGTTGTGTCTTTGAACTTATTAGACTCTCCTTCCTTCATTCGTTCGTTTGCAGTTAGCTAACTTGTAAATAGTTACGACGCTCCCTGGCTGTGATGTCCACGTCCGACGAAAATAAGAGTGCGCCACGAGAAATAATTGAAATTAGGAAGTGCAGAGCTTTATGCTCTTCTGTAAAAATTCTTTCTTTTTATAAAAATTACTTTGAATTCAGTTTTTATGTGATAAGTATTACGTATGTTTTAAAACCAAGTCTTGAATGTGAGATGCGTACTCGTGACGGTGAACGTGTTTACTTCTCTGAAGTACCGTGATGTTCACTTGTTTCGCGAACTGTCACTTTATCCCATTGTTAACAAAATCGTTCTATAGATCCGAGGGAAGGTCAATTGCATCCCCGGGAGAGAGCAATGATTGATGCCGTGTTAACGCGCGGGCCCAAAGGGCCAGGGCCCCCGATAATTCTTGAAAACATTATTTAATACTTTTTTTTAATTAAATTTTAAAAAACGTATAAAAAGTGATGTGTGATTAAACTATAAGCAAAAACTGGCATAACCAAGTAATGTGTCGCGCATCCTTGGATAATTTATAATATGGAATTTTGCTGGTTGATGCATTTCAATTTTATATTGTACAATTCAAGAAAAAATTTTTAAAAAATATTTGTATCGTTTTCAAGTAAGTACAAATCTTATTCAAAAACTTGGGGGAGGAGATTGGGGAAAGTAGGGGGTCCCCAAATTAACCCAGACCCAAAGGCCCCAATGTTGTTAAAACGGCCCTGCGTAGATGACCAAAAATTGAGGAAGTTCGTGCACTGACTGTCTCACTCTCCAGAGACCCTTTTGCTCGCCGCAATATCATACGAGAACCTTTTGTTTGTGGCATGGCACTAGCAGCTAATGAAACTGATCGCTTTAACGCGCGGTGCGTGTCGCCAGGCTGTGGCAGTCGGGCGGTTCCTGTCGCCCTTGTAAACACCGTGCTTAGTCCCGCGGAATCTCAAGCAATAACGAGCTTGAAACCGAAGCAACCAGCCGCGGATTGCCGACGCTAGTTGTAGCCCACGCAGAACACGGCCTTCGTTTCCACAGTGAAAAGGTCTCCATTGCGTGTCCGCTACCTCCACCTTAGGGGAGACTTCTTCGATGACCTTCGGCAGACGATATTTTTTTTCCAAGCTGTAAGCGTGTTTCCAAGCGTTGTAATGTGAGGCTCTATGTTTAAATCGAAGTTAAGTTCGTCTTCTATCTGTTTTTGCGTCCGCGATATTAAACGAAAAAGAGTGGTAGGAAAAGACAACCCCTTTTAAAAACCGATACAATAAAAAATTTAAAAGTTGTTAGGGAGAGTAGCAATAAAAAAGCAGGTATTTCTAAAGAACTGGGAAAATTGGTAAAAAAATAGTGTACAAATATTAATTTATTATTTTGCTCATAATAATTAATTTCAGTTATGCATTTTTTTCACTTATACAATTTTTCCGTTCAGTCCCCTGAAAAAACGTAAAGTTAAGTTTTACTGTATAATGATTATTACTTCTTGTGGCGATAAGAAATGTAGCAGTTCTTGATTATATTTCCCATTAAAAATTCTAGGTATGAAGGTGTCATTATTTTATTCTTAAACTGTGTTTCCCCTCCCCCTCCCCTATGTTACTATGTTAAATTCTTAATATTGATGACTCATTATCTCAGAAACTATTGGAGATACCGATTTAAAAAGTTACATTACTGTAACTTATTTGTGCAGTTCATTTGCATGAACTGTACATTATTTGTACTATTCTTTTTGTACTGATCTACATTGAAAAGGCTTCGCAGGAAACTGAAATATAATTTTTTTTTATCGAACCTCCATTTCTCTCCCCCCCCCCTCAAATTTAATGACAAATTAATTTATAAAATTGAAACAAATAATGTTAACTTCAATTGCTGGTATCTAAAAGCTGTTTTCTCTTCTTTTTATGGTTATCTCAACTTAATTGGCAACACTGAAAGGTATATTTTAATCTTAGGACTTGAACTCGGTCACCACTTCTGACACATTCTGTTGCTGGTGGTGTTTACCTTCATGTACCTTAAACTGAACTGAATACTGAAAATCTAAACATTGCTCCCAAAATTTTGCAGAAAGTGAATTTTTAGGTGAAGGAAATACTAAGTTCAATTATAGTTTTTAATTACCATATTCTTTTCCTGGGATGACAGTTTTGCGTCTAGTATGAAATGTAAAGCAATTTCCATAACTGTTTGAGGAATATTGATCAAAGAACCTAAAAAAAAGATTTGTAATACATACAAATATGATATTCATCTGATAAGAGCAAAATAGAAATAAATATTTGTGCATACAGTGATGAATTTAGGCAAGATTCACCACTGAAAGTGCAGGAACGGATGAAATCTTCATAGCGGTGACCTATCTTTGATTGGACCTCTGAGGAAAAATTGGCATATACAGCCATGAAGTGCATAAGATCATTGAAAGAACGAGTTTGATTGGCAGGTTGTGGTAACTTAGAGCTGTCTTCAGGAGGCATCTCTGTAGTGGAAAAGAAGGCTTGAGAATTTGCTTCATTGTTGTCTTGAACTTGTCGACCAGTGCGTGCTTGAAAGTGGAGCTGGCAGTCTGTGAGGTCATGGAGTTTTAAGAGCTGAGTTCCTAATTCTGTACCCCATTTTGCAGCAGCAAGACGACGCAGGTTCCCACAGTGAACTCTGTTAAGATTGCATACCTTAAACAATAAAAATGAAATTTTAACTACCATTTAAAAAATCTTAAAATTCTCATTTAATAAAGACGTTTTGGTAAATGATTATTGGTTGGATCATTGATAAAAGGGGGAGAAAAAAAATTCATTTGCTTTTAGTGTTTCCTTTAAGAAATTACATATTTGAGGATGATTGGGGAATCAGGGATGTACAGTAACTTTTTTCTTCAAAAATATAGCAGTTAAATAAATTTGAAAACTTATGGTTTAGGATAGGTCTGCTAAACTGATTGGCAAAAAATGTATTTTGGATCAAAATGATTGTTCAAACATTTTAGTTTACTAAGTTTTTTTTACCTATAACTAGACTAGAGATTCTCAATCTTTTTTGTTCATCAACCCCTATTAAATGAATTGTTGGCATCATCGACCCCTTACGTTATTCTGTAATATATATCATACATAATCCTATGTGTTTCTCGAACCTAGCAGGACTGCAGTGACAGTTGTTGCCCTGAACCATCTCTCCCGGTATTATTATTTACTCAAAAACAACACCAATTTCTTCAATGAAAATTTGTGTTTAGAACCAAGTTTTACTCTTTTATGATATTCTTTAAGTCATATTTCAATTCTAGTATAATGGGACCAAAAAATATGAAAAAATTACATATATTTTGATAAAATATTATTTCTTCAAATAAATATTACAAAAAAGGAAACTAAACTATTGTGTTCACTGAAACATACTTTAAATTTTTGTACTAAGGCACTTCTCTAGAGTTTGTAATTTTGAGAAAACTGTTCATAACTGAATGAGATGTTGAAAGTTTTAATGCTAAAATAACTCTTTTCATTACTGCTATGGAAATGCATGATGGCAGTGTCATTCAGATACATAGATTCAGTGCAACAAAACCCATTAAAGGCTATACAAGCATAAAAAGATCAGTTTAGATATATCATGTGTTATTAAATTATTATCATCATCATCAAAACTATACATCATACATATTATTATAACAAAAACATACAAACACAGTTACAAATAGTTCAGTGTAGTGATTTGGTCTTGCAAGACAGAGGCTTGGGGCAAGCAAGTTCAAGAACATGGACCCTAAGGGCATGGGTTTAAAGCTTGCACAAGGCATGAATGTTTTATTGGGTTTGGGGCCAATCCAAGTCCCTCTTGTCCCTTATACAAGCTAATTCTTCCCTATTTTCTTGGTCTCACAGGCAATTGTGTTTGGAGTCTCTGAGTGTCATTGAGGAATTAGATCTCTATGCATAGAACAAATGGTACAAGCACCAAGATGAGGCCAAGGGGTACAATGGACAAAATGCAAAAGTTTCAGGGCTGAGATAGGCTTTTGCCATGTTCAGGGAGTGCAATGGGCTTGTCCCCAGAGAAGCAGTAGGTACGGCAAGAGATGCTAGTAGGTCTTTTAGATGCAAATAGGCAGCAGCTGGAGAAACAGCGGGGGAATATTGAAAAGCTAGCCGTCTCAAGATCATTGGAAACTGACTGATACAAGAAAGTATTTGTCGTACTGAAGGACTTAAGGTAATCTTCAAGTAATTAATTAGTTTTTGAATGCAATTCAATACTTACTGTAACAGCTGGGAAAGGTAGTGCAGCAACTTGATCTAAAGTAACAGAAGTAAGCACAGGATATTCTAGATATTGAACTGTCACTGTAATGACATCCCTCGCAGTACACACTATTCCCAAAACAAGTAGAATCGACCATAAAATTATCCAAGGAGTGGAAGTTGCCTGAGAAACTCTCTGCAAGCCAGCCACTGAAGCCAATTGCAAACTCTCTCTCCATAACACTTTCGAAGAGTTTCGATGTGAAAGAGTGTGTTTCCCCGAAATATTCAGTTCGTTATGATGAACCTTTCTATGTCGCCAGTTGTGGAATCTACCCAGACCTACATTAGGATGTGCTTTAATCTTCTGAAGATGATAATTAAATAACTGGGAGTTGAATTCCATTTAAATGGATTCTATTCTTATGCTAAGAGATATTCAATCTGTTCTATCCATTATTGTGGCCCAGGTTTTCACAACTTTTTCTGCTCTTCCTGTAAGCAAGAACACTGCAGGTTTGAAAATTCTGAGTCAGTGAAATGATGAAGTACTTACCAGTTGGCTTTGAGGTGACACACAAAGGGACTTGACCTGTCAGTGGCAGCTGCATAATTTAATGCATCTCACCTGCCTTAAGAACTCTTGCCTTTGATCTTTTTTTTTTTCTTTCCTTGGTAAACAGTATACGATGCGTCATTAGTTCACTTCAGACACTGTTGAAAAATGTATATGGTGAAGGATATCCCTTACAGTAGACATTTTCAGCAAATATGGCTGCATATGTGAACTTTGCCTACTTCTAATCTTGAAAATCTCATTGACAAAATGTATGTAGGAGGCCAATACATTGTTTATCAAACATAATAAGATACTTCTTCACTTTAAATATGCAAGGGAAGTTACACAGGGATGCGACAATTTTCCACATTTGATGAAAATAGGTGATTATGAATCAGTTTTTCATCTTGATTACATATATAATTTTAGATTATTTCTACCACGTACAGTTTTGCAAAATTTTTGGGTTTTCGTACTTTAAATTAGCACGCCCTATGACATAAACGCAGGGCCACGACAATGTGCTGCTTTTGATTAAAAGCAGGGTGATAATGAGTCAGTGTTGCAAACTGTTGTGCTGTGTGTTGCAAACAAATGTGGATGCGGTTTCTTCACAACACCCACAGTTTCTGTGAAATTTATGATTGATTGAAGTTCAACTGAACGTTGGCAATGTATTACATACCATAAATTATGTCAGCCATTAGACCCGTACCACATGGCTTTGACATTCCTATACCAAACTCATCACACTGAGGCGTGTGCACAGGGGGTGCCTGGGCACCCCCATTACAAGTATACGACAACTTTTTTTTTTCAAATTACATATTTATTTAATTGTATCCATTTATCTGTTAAGGAAATTGTATTGTAAAACTGACGTTAATTGCTACTATTATTTTTATATTTTTTACTTTTATTACAACATTATAAATCAAACTAATATCACACTATTTTTTTAAAAAAAAATGCTATGTATGTACATGTTGTTCTTATTAAAAATTAATATACACCTTAAGATTGAAAACATTTAGTAAATAATGTAATAAGTGTTAATTAGTTTCCATAAATCTGTATATAATTTTATCATACAAATGTTTGTGTTTAAATACTAAAAAATACTTCTATTTCAAAAAGTATCGTTAAATAATTATTTTAAATTGGAATTATATTTCTTTTCACTTTTCAAATTTATTGGGAAAAGTGAACACCCTTTTCGTCATGTAAATGTTATGTTATTTTTTGTATTAAATTCATATAAAATTTGCCAATTATCATATGTAACACAGTTTAACATTAAATTATTTCATTTATTATTTCATTTTATTTATTCTTAACGAATTTTAAATTTTAACCGCACAGGTGGCGCTGCAATCTTAACCTACGGAGCAATACTTATAAATATCAGAGAATAGTTTAATTAAAATACTAATTTTGGGGATTGGTGATAGATAAATTTATTTTTCTCTGAAGTTTTAAATGATGAATTACAAGCTGAAATTCAGTTACTGAAAGACAGAAAAAGTGATAATTATCCTCCTAATAACGTACAGAAATGACTTATTTGGCTAGATGAAGATTGTAGAAAAACTACGTATTGTAATTTTAGAGGTACTAAAGTTTTCTGTGATTCCAGTTACAAGCTCTTCATGCGAACGATGTTTTTCAAAGCTTGTAATAGTAAAATCAAAGCTTCTTCATTGTTATTATTTATTGAACAGTCGAAAACTATGGAAATTGATATACTTGATGTTATCAATGAATTAAAAAAACTTGTTCCTTTTGAAAGGCGAATGTTACTCTAAAGATTGTATTTATTTTAAATTAGTTACTAAATTCAATTATAAATAAAATTAGTTTTAAATGTTGTGTAGATTTCAAATATATTGTAAACATATATTTTTAATAAAAAATATAAAAATAAAAAAAATATAAAATTAATAATTGATTCATGAGGGGGGGGGGGTAGCGGAATTGTTAGGTCAGGCTCCCCCATTCCTAAAATCCTGCGCACGCCTATGCCATCACATAACCTACCATCTACATCTTCAGATTACTCGGACTGCTGTGACAGTGAAATGGACGTTACTGATTTGCCCAAAGAAGAGAAGATACCAGTTGTTTAATAAAGAAGAACTTAATGATTTGGTGCGAGAGCTTAGCCTCTCAAAGGAATCGGCGCAGGTTTTAGGTTCATGGTTGAAAGAGAAAATGTGCTCGCTCAATGCAGGATGTTTTACTGGCATCGAAAGAAAGATGAATTCCTTGATTATTTCACGAAAGAGGGTGTTTGTATACTGCATCAACATTTATGATGTATTTTCAAAATCTGGAATAAGAAATGTCAGTGATCAACGGAGGTTTTTTATAGATTATTTGAAACGCAGCTGTTCTGCTTCATAATGAAAATCAATATGCCTCGCAGCCAGCATCTCATTCTGTTCATTTAAAAGAAAACATATACACGAAAACATGGAAGAACTAAAAAAATATCAAGAACACTAATGGATTGTCTGCAGAGACGTGGAAGTTATTTGAATATTGTTGGGTATTCAACTAGTATTTACTAAGTTTCCCTGCTATCTATGCGAATGGCGTAGCAGGGTCCGTGAATTGCACTGGATCAAAAAAGGATTGGTCAATCAGAAATACTTTGAATCCCGGAGATAAAAATGAAATAAGTTTGGTCACCATTCCATATGAAGCATTTTCTTCCAGAGGTCTGGCTTAAAGAAAGCATGTTTGTTGGACATCAAATTATAAATCTGATGAATGATAATCTCTGAAAATTTAACGAGTGGTACAGAAACCCTGGCCTGGACAGATTTCAAAACTGTCTCCGTCAATTTTTAAGGAAATAGAAAAAAAATCCAATTTTAAACCTACGGTTGATGAAATACTAATTTGTATGAAGAATTTAGGATGTAAAAAGAGCATCAAACTTCATTTTTCTCCACAAACACCTTGATTTCTTCCCTTATTATCTGGGGGGATTTTACTTATGAACATGGAGAGAAGTTTCAAGACTTGAAACAGATGGGAAAACGTTATCAGGGCAGACACTTTGAAGGGATGATACAAGATGACAGTTGATCCTTAAAGAGGAAAAGTGTAGAATTGCAATTTAGCATCCGAGGCAGCAAAATTTCAGCAAAATAAAGTGTTAGCAAAGTCTCTGACATTGTTAGTATAAATAGAACATTATTGTTAATGTATGTTGTTAATAAGCATAATGTGTACTACTTGTATACATATTTATACTTATTTTTTCTTCAGTTGAATTGTGTTATCTATCGTTATAAAATTGTTCATTTGCTTTCTTGAAACTTTCATAAATCAAGAGTTTTGTTTACCAGTCTTTCTCGATTTTACCCGTTACTGATATCGATTGCTTCAACGTCCGAGGTGGCACAAACTCTGTAATATGTAGAATCACGCAGGCTAAACTCAGCTCGTTCTAGGATGTTTATATTCGTTTTAATGATTATCCGAGAATTTTTTTTATGAAGTAGACAGAAAGTTATGTAACACTTCGTGAAAATTTTGGGCAGAAAAACTTATCACAGGACCATGTAACGAAAAAGTGGATAAATTCAGTTGCTAAATTTAGACAAAATCCTCTAACACGTGGTGTAGCCATAATCATATTTTGTGGGTGGGTCCTTGAAACCGAAAAATCGAATGACAGCAAAACGTCTGTCCGTGTGTGAACTACCCTAGCGACTATACCGTTCAGCCGATTTCTCCAAAATTGATATTCTCCAATCGTTCTGGCTGTCACGGCTCCTGGAATTTGAAACCAACATTGTAATTTTGGGGAGTACTTTGCATGTATCCCCAAATATATTTTTTTAATTTTATTTTTTATTTTTGATAGTGTGAAGGACGTTTAAGAAAATGGCGCAGGTATCATGTTGATTGAAAACTGATTTTTCGAAAATTACAATTTTTTCGGTGTCTTCCTACAACTAAAATATTAAAGATAGTTTTTTGCCTGAATGAAGTCTGTTCTTTACAGATAGATTTTGAAATAAGGTCAGGAACATCTTTTCGAAAATTTGAATACTTTACGCATAATTTTGCAAGAAAGTACTTGTTGTTTAGCACAACTAGTTACTTTTTAAGTTTTGTGAAAAGTTAAAATAAATTATTACTGAAAAATCCGCGCCTGCTCCGTATATACTGTAACGTGTCTCGCTGGTGAATTAAAACTCACAAGTATTATTTAAACAATTACGTTTATTTGTAAACAATTGTACATTAAAATTTACTAACACTAAAAACTACTCGATCTATATAAGGTATATTACACAGTCCTTGTGTTCTTCACTTAACACACGACTCCGTTCTCTTGATTACTTGTTTACACTGTTCTCTGCAATCTATTTATTTACACTGATCACTTCTACAGTATCACACAGTCCGCTGCACTGTCCTCTGCGCTGATCACAAGTCCCTGCGCACACCAGGGTCCACTGCACTGCTGTTTACCACAATGCACACTTCACAGCTCAGCTTCCACTGCAGACTTCAGACTGCTGTCCACCCTTTGCACCAGTGTTAACCGCAATGCACACTTTACATCACAGCTTCCACTTCAGACACACTGCTTATTCACTGATTACATACACTAATCTGCGGCTGCTTACTTCCGACTACTACTTACACTGGCTTACACTTACATACCTACACACACCGACTTACACTGAATGACTTGACTGCTACTCCTTACTAACTTCTTACTCGCAGCTGCCGGCAGCGGCGCATTTATACCAGGCAGGCGCTCGTCTCGATACAATCAGCACATTCTCCACCTTTCCCCGCGACTCGCGAATAGTCCGGAACCGTCCAGTCCGGGGGAAGGGAAGGGGCGCCGGCAGATGACGCAATCCGCGCGCAGCGAATCCGGCAGGTGATGCAATATTCGTTACAATACGTACGCATACGGGAAAGTACAAAGTGAAGTTAACGGTTACGGAATTTGGATTTTCTGGAATCGTCATTTATGAAAAATTTCTCCCACTCTAAATCCCGAGTGGGTATTAACCCCCTCAAAAATGTTCGTGTCTGTGTAGATACCACTGTGGCGTCATATCTGTCGCCAGTACAAACGTACTATATCAGCCACGCGGACAGCACTGGCGGAAGAGACGCTGGGCTGCACAAAGGCTAGGGAGCAAGGGATGGGGGGTTCGTGGGTGGAAACGGGGAGACCCCGGACACGGCGGAAACGCGTCGGCGGACACTGCGGGTGACGCAGTTCCGTCAGCCTGCCCAGAAGGTATATAAGCGGATCCCGACCTAGCTCGATCTTCTGTTTTCATCTGATTCTTGGGCGCGTCGGTAAGGCGTCGTATGGGTTGTGCGCGGCGTTGCATTGTAATGCATAGGCGACCGAGGCGGGGAACCGAAGCCGGCGTGATACGTCGTGACGGTAGGTGCGGCACACTCGCTGGTATGCTCGCGTAAGGTACTGGTGCATCATACCGAACATGGTAATTAATTATCGGGCCAGCGGTGGTGGTAACCAGGGAAAATTCCTTCTTGTAACGGTCAATTTATTTGTAAATATTGTATATTGTATTATGGTGTCGGAGTATTTTATTTCTAATAAATACTAAATATTTGCAAGCCGTTCACGTCTGTAATTTATTGCCCCGGCAAGACGCCACACCACCATACCTACCATATCGTTACCTCACTATGGGAACTGACGCGAAACTCATAATTCCATGCAATGCTCGAGCAAGCTGAAAATCGCGGGACACGAAACAGAAAACAACTGAATTCTTAACCAACTCTTACAAGGTGACAGTATTTATATATAAAAGTCTTTTCCTCGATATGCGATATGACATGCATATTTGTACATAAAGCCACTATTTAAAAAAATAATATATGTCGGAACAAACAATTCAATTACTTTATATGAATAAAAATTGAACTGTAAATAATGGGTTTCGAATGCATAATATTGGTACCATTTACTCAGGCATTTCCTTGTTCCCGACAATGTTGCCAAGCTGCCCCAACCATATTCCAGAAAACTGCTATTTGTGATAGTTAGGGGTGGTTTTAAAATTCCAGTCGGCCCCTCTTCCCAGCAAGACCCCAATGGCTGACCCCTGAGAACTCTGCTGGCAAAGGTTTACAAATACGATCCATTTCTTTCGACGCAGCGAACCCCCCTCCCCCGATTGCACGGTTGGCAAAGTCTAAACCACTTTATCTTCTCACCTGAGAGGCCATTTTTTAACTCCTTGACTATGGCAATTTTTATCCTTAAATTTTTATCGGCGCCGAGATACCATCCCCTTTTTCCTCGCATTTCTGCTTGCCAACTACGTATTCTCATTTTCATTCCATGAAAATGTTGTTTCATATACAATGTTTCAGTGGTATTCGTCAAGCCATATAGTTAAAATACTTAATTTATTTTATTTTTCAAAAGAAAGTATTTCATTTCTTGTTGAGCAGACTTTGAATAAGGAGATGAAATAAAAATGTTGATGAAAAAAGAAGAAAAATTCATCTTGCAAAATAAGTTTTGCAATTTATTATTTGATCAAAACGAACAATCCCCGCTCAAACAATTATAGCTTTTTTTAAAAAACAAGTGTACTTATTTCAACACATTGAAGTTTATACAAGACAGTTTATTTGACATTCACTCCCACAAGACTTGGTGAAGCAACAATTCCTTTTCCAGGAACTGTTAAAGAGGCACCCTTATACGTGACAATCTTTTTATCACTTGTTTTCAAATCTGGAGCAACAGTCTCAAAAATTTTCTTCTTTGGATTGAGTACTGGATCTGGCACTCGTGGATATCCTTCCACATGGATCAAGTCTCCAGGCACTGACCCCTGAGGTGGGATCAGAACTTCTACCTTCTCAGGTGTACTTGCACACATTACCATGGCTTCTGATGTAATTCCTCGCATCTTGGCTGGCTTCAAATTGCATAATAAAACTACAAGACGATTTTCCATTTCTTCAATAGGCACAAATTTAACTAAACCACTGACCTGAAACAGAAACGAAGTTAAACAATTTCTGAGTTCTATATTTAAAGAAATAATTAAAGCTTCTTTGATATTACTATAATAAATTGCATGTAGTATATTAAATAAATATTATAAATTGAGATATTTTATAATTAAATATTTTACTAAAGTTCAATATCAAATTTACTTGAAAATTAATAATGTTTTATAAAGTAGAAGACCTTTCTAGATATTTAAATGTTACGAAAAAGCCTTAAATGTGTTATTTTTACTTTCTCGCCCTTACGAATGTAAAAAGAGAACGTATTGTAATCATGCGCCGGAAAACAGCAAATTTTCGTCGGAAAGACTCTTTTTGTCGGTAGTAACGAAAAAATGTATAAATCCTGTTGCTATATACAAGGTGTCTCCACATATTTTGATTATCAAATCCCTGATTTTCCCTGACCATTACAAGGTATTTTCTCAAACTTCGGTATATAAAGGTTAACCCCAATCTTGTGATAACGCCGGAAGGAATAAAGTATTAATCACACAAAATTGAATATTGAACAACATAAAGACAAGCGAAGTCGTAGGCTTCCGCGGCCAGAGTCCTGGACATTCCGGCCCGCCTGACGGACCATTCCGCGCCGTCCGATCACGCGGCACCCGACTTGACCCCCCCCCCCCCGCTGCTAACTGGCGGCCTCCGATTGGCCGCTGCTTCAGCCAATAGTACTCGGCCCAGACATGAATATACACCCGAGCGCTGACCATCACGGCGCATACCAGCCCTGAGGAAGACCACGACAGGATGGTCGAAACGTCGGCAACACAGCCTTCGACGCGGCGTCTCCCGGACGGCCCAGATCACGCAACATAAAGACAAGTTCATCAATTATGTTTACAATATTTGTTGGGATTTAAAAGGAAAATAATTGCTGCCACTGAGATTGACAATGACATTGGCTTTGGCTTTGTTGCAACTTAAAAGACGTGATAGTGGCTGTAATGAAAATATTGTAATACCTTTGATTACTATTGAATACTTTACAGTACAAGATGGTGCTATAAGATTTAGCAAAATTAATTCTTGTGTAAGAAAATCCAGACACATCACAATTTTTGAAGATTTTCTTTTCTGTTCAAGATGATATATTTTCACTTGAAATTCATCCTCTTCTATCTCCTTCTAAGCAACTTCTTTTTCGGTTCCAAATATTTCAGAGTAGCGATGCTATCTCTTCTCCTCCCGCTGTCGTACTTCTTTCTTCTAGAAATCATGCTTTCGTTTTAAATCATCCCTGTACCTTTGACGTGCTGATCTCACTGCTTGTCATCATCATTTTTGCAATTTTACTTTGTGTCATGCACTTTTCGTTGATAAATCACACTTTGTTTGTGCAAATTTTCTTCAACAGAAAAAAAAACACTTTCTATTGAAGCATTTCCACGAGAAAATATGACATTTCTTTAATAACTTCCAAAGATGTTCCAAATCTCTTTAATCTTTCGACAAACTGGAATATAATTTATCCAGTCTATTTTCTTGGTTACCTAATGTAACATTTCTCAAATTCTGTTTTGAATGCAACCTTAGCTTCTGCAGCAAATGTCTCATATTGTTTCATAGCTTTCTCTGCAACTGATTCCGTGATCTTGTTTGCCTTGAAAAGAATCTCTAAAATATTTCCAAAGCGACCACTTGCAATACTGGATCTGTTCAATTTACATTCGGATTTAAACTACTCAAGGTCAGAACACATAACATTTTCTCCATAACTTTTTACTTTCTCGTTACTGCAATGAGTCCCAATTACCCATTGCACAGCGCGACCCCTTGGGTCACGCCCTATTAAAATAACTCCAAGCGAAGGGCGCTTTTGGCACAATTCGCCTTGCGCGGCTGCGCGCGCCGCCACCCAAGGATTCCCCGACGTTCGCCCGCCTCCGAAAAGCACCCCTACGATCTTTGTGTGGCAACAGGAGATTGACTCCCGGAACAGTCGTACTAAGAGACTGGGGGGCAGCTCGCTAGCTAATCCCTAAGAGGCAATAAACCATGAAGCTTCGAAGGGTCGCGGACGTGTCGAGTCACGTAGGCACTAGATGCAGAACAATAAACAACCAATTGCATGTTAGGAAGTAAAGGTTACAGAGATGCACAGTTCCCTTAACCCAATCACAGAATTCGGGTGATAGAATGTTCTGGAAACTTTTTAACAAGCCTATGGAAAGCTTCGCGCTACGCACGTGACATCTCGCGCATTTTGTGAAAGGGGTGGGGACGGGGACGGGAATCGGGTGAGCTGAGGGCGCTAGAAAGACAGGATAATTGGAGAAAGAATCCCGACAGCGACCGGCGGTCGATTTTTAGAGACAGTTCTTAGTCTAATGGTGACAATAGCCATTCAACGAACAACCACTGTTCTCCACACGATTCTACCAGTCATCATTTCAGCGTCGGAATTTATTCCGGATGCCTGGCTGGGATAATAGGATCAACACACTAAAATACCCGTGAGAGTGTGCAGCACGATCATTCGGCTGCAAATGACAAAACGTGGACCAGGCGACGTGTAACGACCTGCGACCCGCACATCAAAAACCGACTCTTCATTTCGCGGACGGCCAGGGATGATCTCCCGCCCAGCCTGATGTTGGACATTCGCGAGCGCTCCTGCCGACTACAGGGGTCCTTCGCTGCAAACGACCGGTATTGGACGTGTAATCCTTTCATTGGAAAAGGGGCGTTAAAAGGAAATGGTCAGATTGTACACCGGAACTTCTGTATACATGTGTATCTAATATGTTGGACTTCATTTTTTGGTTCACAATTATATAGACTATCAAAGATTTGGAGCCTCTGGCTGCCCACATGTATTTATGTATTTCTTTGTGTTTATGGAGTGTATTTGTTATTTTCAGTTGATTAAAAGCTGGAAAATTCCTTAATGTGTTCCCATTCTCATTCAATGGGGTCTCAATACATCACCCATTAGCTGTTTCACTTCTCTAGCATAAAAATCAACACACAACATTACATAAACATTTATGAATCTTATTCAGTTGTTTTTGTAAAGTTTCATAAAATTCTTGGCTTAATTCTTTCCTTCCTTCTTCTCGGGTGTAATTATGGGGGCGTTCTATTAGAATCAATGCAAGATTTACTAACATAACCATGATTAGTGTGCATGAACCTACAGAAGATCAGGAAGATATGGAAAAAGAAAATTTCTATTGTCAGTTGAGTAATTTGTAGTTAAAAAGTCCACAACACATCAAACTCGTTATGGGTGATTTCAATGCAAAAATAAGTAATGATCATATGATGACCCAGGTTGTACAGCGGGATACACCCCATAGCATTATTAATGGAAATGGCTGGAAGCTAAATGGCTTTGCATCACCTAAGAAAATGGTTATAATCTGTACAACCTTCCCTCACAAGAGGGTACATCTAGAAACATAGAATATCCCCAGATGGGGTAACGCCCAATCAGATAGATCATATATTAATTTATAGTAGGTACACAAGTAATATCACTGATGCAAGAACATATAGAGGGGCTGATTGTGATAGTGACCACTACCTGCTGTAGGTGAGATTACCACAGCGAATATCATCAGTTGGTAGGACTAAAGGGCAGAGTTGAAAGAATCAAGTTGAGAAATTAAAAAATGGAATTATAACAAGGGATAGACTAAGCATCGAAAAGACACAGAAGAATTTACCAAAATATTAGGAAGAGGATAGTGCCAAAAGAATATGGGGTGGTATTGAAAATTCCATAATTGAAGTATCTCTAAACATATTGGGAAAACAGAAAAGGAATGAGAGGAACAACTGGCTTGATGAATAATGTAAAATGGCTTAGGATAACAGGGATTAAGCTCAGCAAAAAATGCTTCAAAGAGCGAGACATTATAATTCGTACAATTATAAAGAAGCAAGAATACTGGCAAAAAATATTTGTAAAAAGAAGAAAAATTATATGAAGAACAAAATCTTGAGGAATTGTAGGATAAGTTTAGAAACAATGATAGCTAAAAGTTTTATGAAGGAATAAGAAATATAAAAGAGGGTTTTTGTAGAAATAACAATGGATATCTCATAGGTGGAGAAAATTATGTGTTTAACACATGGAAAAACTATTTTGAAATACTGCTGAACCCCCAGCAGGAGGAATGAACTCCTGAACAGAAAGTGGTTTACTATAGACCTTAGCAGTCACAACCACCACCAACATTTCAAGAATTAGTGAACGCAATTCGGGATAAGAAGGGAAACCCAGCACCGGGAGAAGATATGATCACGGCAAAATTAATAATGGAGGCAGACAGTTGTGGAAACACATTTATTATCAATGCCAAAAAAATTTGGGAAGTGGAACAATACCAAAGGAATGGAGCACTGCAATATTTTGCCCTGTTTACAAGAGTGGTGATAAACTAAACTATATAAATTATCATGGAATATCGCTTCCTAACACAACAAATAAATTATTTACAACTGTATTATCATAGCACCTGGAACCACAGGTGGAGATTATCCATGCCTTGGAGATTATCAGTGTGGATTAAAGAAAAATAGGTCTACTACTGATCAAATCATAGAACAATTTTAGAGAAAACATGGGAACAGAATATTGAAATACATCAGTTATATATTGATTTTAAACAACCCTATGACTTAGTTAATAGGAAACAACTTCTACATATAATGTTAGAATTTGGTTTCCCAAGTAAATTGCAAAGGCTAGTCGAAATGACTTTACGGAACACAATTAAGTTAAAATACAAAACATGTTACCAGAAAGTTTCAAAACTATGGCTGGTCTCATTCAAGGTGATTCACTATTCACACAACTATATAATGTATGCTTGGACTAAGTAATTGGAGCCATCAAAATAAATCCAAGAGGCTCAATATATAATAGAACTGTACAACTTTTAGCTTATGCAGATGATGATGATGTTATCTTAAACAGAACACAGAAATTCCTCGCAGAAAGTGTAAAAGAATTAATAACGGCTGCTAATGTAATCAGTCTTACTGTATAACAAGTAACTGGAATTGGATAATAAGTAATTGGAAAAAGAATGAACCACCCTCAAACTTTCAAATGGGTAAAGAAAAATATGAAAGAGTAGATGTATTAAAATATTCGGATCCTCTCATTAATTCCACAAACAATAAAGAAATGGAAATAAAAGCATGTATGACCTTAGGTAAGAAAGGTTTCAGAGCACTAAGATGTATATTAAGAAAAGAAATATACATAGACACCTCAAGGTCCAAGTGTATAATATGATAATAAGACCAGCAATATTGTTCGGTGCTGAGTGTTGGACATTAACAAATAGTCTTGAATGTGAGCTGATGTCCTGGGAAAGGAAAATCTTAAGATGTATTTATGGCCCCACGTATGAAAATGGGCATTGGAGGATACAGTAATTTAGAACTGTCCAATATGTATAACACAACAAACATTGTTGCAGAAATTAAGGTCAGAAGAAAACAAAGGCTTGGACATCAATTACGAATGGATGAAAAGAGAATTGCCCAAATTATCTTCTGTAAAGAACCAGAAGGAAGACGAAAGGAAGACTCCGTTTAAGAAGGCTAGATGATATTGAAATGGATTCGAGATCAATGGGAGTGAGGAGGTGGAGAAGAAAGGGCCATAGTGTGACAGAAAAAATTTATATTTTACTTACGTTACTTCATTTTAAATAGTGTCCTTTAATTGTGTTAAACGTGAAAGCAAATAGATGATCGGTTATTGTTGGATGTGAAAATATTCGAAATTTTTTTGGGGTCTTCCCACAACTACAATTATGAGGATACATTTTTTTCCTAATAAAATGTATTTATCAAAAACCAATTTTCAAATAAAGAAATGTTGAATTTTTCGATAATATAAGTATTCTGCAGTAATTGGGTGTCAAAGTTAGTCACCCACTGAAAATACTGCACTTCTTAATCGTAATTTTGGGTGTTTTGAAGCAGTTGGATACTATGCAAGTTAAAATGTGTATATTATTTCATATTACTTTGCTTGTTCCTTACATTAGAGCATTTGTTACATGTTTACACCTTAATTCTTTAGAAATTATTTAAAACCTATTTGAAATAAATATGAAATAAAGATTGCTAGCCTTCAGTCACTAACTCCCAATCCACCCAGACGGATGCAACGTAAGTTAAAATGTATATATTATTTCATAATTCATTTTAATACTTCATTTTAAATAGCATCCTGGAATTGTGTTAAAAATGAAAGCGAAAAGATGATCAGTTATTGTTGGTTGTAGTTACCCATTATTGTAACGCCACACACATAACATAAGGCAACAATGACAGCTACTTTTCTTTTATGGTAATAAAAGCGAATCCTTTTATATATTTGTAGAATATCACAATACCATAGTGCTTAATAATTTCCATTTTATATTTTTCAATCTATTTGTTTTGCAAATACTATCAAAATCGTATTATTTATTAACTTTTAATTATTTTACTTTCATGCATTCTGGATATTTTTCACACCAAATTTTGTAAGATTTCAAATGAGTTTAACAAAAAATAATTTGGAGAGAAATTGTGGTGTAAGTAGTATTACATAATTATCTATTATCCATTACTAACCTATTTGCAAGAAAGTACATGCTGTTTTAGCACCACAAGTTTGGAACGAAAAGAGCATCATGCAAATAGATGTCTTGGACAAGGGAAAAATAATACTGGATGGATAATACTGGAAAAATAATCACTGGATAAGTGAGTTATTAGATCAATTCAATGAGAAAATGAAGGAGAAACGGCCTTATTTGGAACAGAAAAATGTCACAATTTACCACAACGCACCTTCACATTTATCTGGAGTTGTTGCAGATAAACTGCATGAATTGCGAACTGCTGCCGCACCCCGGTATTCAACTATCTCCCAGAATTTTTCTTTTTGAATTTGAAAAATGACTACCAGGAAGAAAAAGAAATTCAATTTAAGAGCTTGTCACAGAGACGCATACTTTACTGAGCTGGACAATTCATATTCTTTGAAGGAGTAGCAAAAATTGCAGGATCTTTGAGAAACGTGTGTATACCTAAAAGGAGACTTTGTTGAAAAATAAAGCATGACTTCTTCATTTCTAAAATAGGGACTTATTGAACCACCTCATACATGCAATGAAAATACCACCACTAGCACAGCACTTCTAAAAATAATTAATAGAGAGAAATTCAAAGAAATTCGAAGTAATTTTTACACAATACATTTCGGTTTCAATTTCATTGCAGCAGTTTTATGTCTGCAGGTGTTGTAAAAATTTTATTTAAGATACTTGAAAGGGGACTAATATAAATTCTGTCCTAGATACCCTCAGGCAAGCAACTTTTACTAGACAAGCATCATTAAAATTATTGTACGTTCATTTTTTTCTTCTTATTACAACTCTTTGGTTCCCATTAATGAAAAAATAAAACATCTGCATACCATCTTTGACTATTTCTGAAAACAAGTCTTTAGTATTACAATAATGCTCTCAAAGAATTTTACTTACCACAGTTCGTGGTTTTGATTCCCCAACATCTATTTCTTCAACATACAAAGAATCAGCATCTGGATGTTTCTTCACAGACATAATACGTCCTACTCGAAAATCTAACCTCCTAACATCAATTGGTGTTTCTTCAGATCCATCTCCAACATTTGCCTTTGGTTTCTTTGCCTCTATTTCTTTCTTACCACCTGCCTCAGTTGTCTTCTTTTCTGTTTTTTCTTCCTTTTTATTTCCAACAACTTTCTTCTCTATAACTTGTTCTTTTGCCTCTGTTTTGACTGACATAGATACAGACTCTGAGGCAGGTATTTCAATCTAATAAAGCAGTAAAATGTCAGGTATCACAAATTTACATTATAGTAATAAGGCTTATTATAATAAATGCCACTTTCAACATACTTGTTCAATATTCTGAGAAATTTCCAATTGTATTAATCTAGCTTTCCACGTTTCGACTTCCTTCTTCAGCTGTTCATTTTCTTTATGTAGCCTTGATAATTCATTCTCTTTAGAATGAACATCATGAACTTTCTTTAATTCAGCCACCTAAAGTAAATATCAAGATCAAATAAACAGGTTCTCATTGAAAGTGAATTAAGAATACAAATTTAAGGAAATTTTATTTTTCAACTCATACCTCTTTTTTCAGAGTATCAATCAGTTGCTCCGCTGCTACAGCTCTTGTTTCTAAACGCCTTAACAAATCTGCACTAGCCATTTTAGTACCCTCAATGATTCCGAATCTGTTATTCCAAATATTCAATCTTAAAACATAAAGCAATGACCTCCACTGAGATCTCCACATGTATACGATTTTTTGTCAAATATAAGTCGTTTCAGTATTACCAACACTTTAAAATAATAAATCAAAATGAACTGCCAATGTTTAAACAAATTACGGTATCCAAAAAGAAACGAATATTCCAAATATTCAATCTTAAAACATAAAGCAATGACCTCCACTGAGATCTCCACATGTGTACAATTTTTTGTCAAATATAAGACGTTACAGGATGGAGCCAAGAGGAGTGGGTTCTCCATTCTTAATAGTCCAATATATGAGTTTTCAGACACCAACAGTGTTGACATGTAGTTCCACGACATTTAGTCACGTGATACCATTCGGCGCGCCAGTTTCGTTCATTCGAAAGCCTACATTCATCAGCCTAATACTCAGCAATTATATCACGTATCACATATATCATATATCAGCAATTATATCACAATCACATATATCCATCTATTCATGCTCAACAGTCGGGCAAGAGAGCCATACTACTTCTGTCAACGCCTCTATAAGTTTCCAGAGATGGCAAAGAATAATAACATAATTAAATTAACTAAATTAATTAAACAAACTAAGGAGATTTTTCTGAAGATTATTTACTAGTAAAAATTGATGTATACCTTAAAGAATCCAAGTTGATACCTCTTTTGAAACAAAAATGAACACTGGACATCACAGGATGCTAATTAACAATTTAATCAAAAAGTTATATGTGAGCTTGTTTTACAATGCTAAACATTAATTACTGGAAGAAAGTAATTTTGTGTGGTGCATATCATATATGAATATTTATGTAATACAATGTTAAATATAACTATATAATATTTACATATAATCTCATAATGACATTAATATAACAACTTGCCCAATGCAGAATCTCAAGGGACCAGTATTGTTTTCTGTTAGACAAGATTCTATATGAAGCAATGTAAAACTGCAGAATTTATGTTTGGCAGGGGAATTTATGTTAAGCATTTCCTTGACTCGGCTGTGATAGTATCAGGATAGTATCTGCTTGGAAGGGAGATGACTGTCTGCTTGTGCTTTCTTCAAGGCTAGGTTCGTCCTCTTTCTTTCCAGGACTTTAGTTCATGACTTAATTCGATACATGGTATACTGGGCAACACCAGCACTGCGCAAGCAAACAATGTGCGGTAGGCAGACGCCACACTCAAGGCCATTCATCTTTCTACTTGGGCGTACCTGTGTCTGAAAGACAGCTCCTCTATCGAATACGCGCAAACTGGAGCAGCATACAACTATGAGTGAACGGATTCTTCTTCTTCTTCTTCTTCTTCTTCTTCTTCTTCTTCTTATTATTATTATTATTATTATTATTATTATTATTATTATTATTATTATTATTATTTGTTATTTTGAAGGCTTGGCAATAGAGGCCTTTAGCCTTTTTACTGAATGACAAAATTGATCAAATATTAATTAAATTTTGTAGAAAAGATTGGCCTCTTTGAGGAACTTTATTGTTTTTTTCAGTTGCCGTCTTGGCGCCGAGGTCTATCTTCATGCCATCTCCCATGCCGCATCTTTCTAAGTCTTGAGAGATCTACACAATCTGTCAAAAGATATTTCACTGTCAGAAGTTGTTGAGGCTGCGAAATATTCATTAGATACGCCATTTGGATTTGTACAGGCGGAGTAAAATGTCTATCTGCTTATATGGTAAATGCATCTGATTATGTTCAGAGCTGTTCTGCATCTAGACAATGTATATTCTAGATGCTGTTACCAGGTTAAATGTCAAAAATCAAACCAAGGAATTTTGCCGTTTCATTGTACGTCAGTTGAACACCATTTAGCGCCAGATCTGGATCTATCTTTTTCGTCTCCTACAGAAGTGAACGCATTTGGTTTTGGCTGCTGTAAATGAGAAACCAATGTTTTATATATATATATATATATATATATATATATATATATATATA